CCCTGGGTATTTAAACCGGACTTTAGTCTCGGAAATCCCGAACCTTTGCGTTCTAGGCATGAGCCATTCGAACTCTAGTTTCCACCGTCTCAGTTGGTCTCCTAGGAACTCACCGCAAACATAGGCAGGTGGCTATAGCAGACCACCAGAAGTCGTTCGGGCATGACAAACACCAAAGGAATTGCACCTTTAGAGGATTTAAGGTCTCCTAGACCAGAGAGTACACAAGACAATGCGATGCAGAGCGAATGCACAATACAGTGCTATACAGGTGCACAAGACAGTGCGATGCAGGGTGAATGCACAAGACAGTGAGATGTAAGTGTGTGCACAAGACAATGCTAAGACAAAGGATGAGCAAAACATCGTGAGAAATACGATGCACTAACAAGTGTAGGTAAGATGTGCACGAAAGCGCGAACAATGCAATGCACTAACAAGTGCAGGTAAGATGCGCAAGAAAGCGCGAACAATGTAATGCACTAACAAGTGCAGGTAAGGTGCACAAGAGAGTATGTAATGAAATGCACAGGATAGTGCGATGCGCAAGAAAGCGCGAGTATAAACTGCACAAAACAGTGCGATGGGCAAGAAAGCACGAGTGTAAACTGCACAAAACAGTGCGATGCGCAAGAGAGCATGAGTGTAAACTGCACAAAATAGTGCGATGTGCAAGAAAGCGCGAGTGTAAACTGCACAAAACAGTGCTATGCGCAAGAAAGCGCGAGTGATTTGAAATGCACTAGACAGTGCGATGCGCAAGAAAGCGCGAGTGATTTGAAATGCACTAGACAGTGCGATGCGCAAGAAAGCGCGAGTGATTTGAAATGCACTAGACAGTGCGATGCGCAAGAAAGCGCGAGTGATTTGAAATGCACTAGACAGTGCGATGCGCAAGAAAGCGCGAGTGATTTGAAATGCACTAAACAGTGCGATGCGCAAAATAGCGCGAACAAAATACAATGCACTAACAAGTGCAAGTAAGGTGCGCAAGATAGCATG